AACCGTGACACCAAAGTATTGAACCGAACCGTGAATTTTGTGTATCGTTGCACCCCTAATAAATATGTAACCTAGCAGCTGAAAAACCCCAAAAAACCAAAACGCTTGTTTTTTTTGTCTGTATGAAACGTTGGAGGCACGGCCACTCTGACTGAAAGACTTCTTCACCTCTGCCAATTCCTGTCAATAAACAATTCCTGAGACCACTCAGCCATTTAGTGCTGTTGATGCCTGCTTTACTTAGCAGTAATGAGCAGGTCTCTGTGCACATAACGATCATGGGGTTTATGAACGCAGCTTGATCCTGTTAGCTGATAACAAGGCCCTTCAGGCTATCAAAAGAAAAGCATTCAAGTACCATTTAACCCAATTTTGTTTTTCCAGTCTCGTGTCGTACGTATGTTTGCATTTATCTTATCGTCTGGTTACTGAGGAGCACACGAAGCATCAGCACAGGTAGCGAATCATCTTACCGTCCTTGCACCTGCAGTACAAGGTTACAGCCGTAAGAGTCCAGGTGGCATGGTGTGTTGGCTCCCTCTGTGCCGATCCATAAGGTGCTCTCTCTCCCATTACGTCCCTCAAAGCCAAACTCGGACCATTTTACATGCTGCAACACACACACACATTCGAACGCCATGTATCAATCCAAAATGCTGTGCGTATAAACGACTGTTTACGATTTTCAGATTACGGTTTTGGTGCTTTCTTTAAAAACGTGACATGGAAACGAGAACCGTCACCGCTCTTCTATCGGCTCACAGATGTAACCCAGCCTCATCAGCTACAATGACAGGGCCTATTACAAGTGACCAATGGAGGTCCCCGAGTAGAGAAACCAAGCAACAGCATTTGTCATCTTTCAAGGAAAACTAGTCTGTCAATCATGTGCCGTCAGGACACAAAGGAGTAGCAATCACACCGGCATCCTGAATAATGAAGTCATTACCACGCATGCAGGCAGCTGTAAGCTTTGACAGTCTGGTCAATCGAGCCTTCGGGCAGCCTTTTTGCCAGCACCATTTATCCTGCAAAAAGCCCACGTCTGTCTGTCTCAAAGGCATGAATGTCAGGAGGTAATAATTGGAGGTGGATGCCCAATAAAAATTTATCACCGAGATAAAAATGAAATAAATTTGTGGCAGTGGCTCAAGAAAGGATGGCACTTTTATGTCTTTACCGGCCAGATGATGAGAACAGCTAGTATAAAGCTGCCATCACAAAAGCTTGACATTTTAATTGAAAATGTCAAAACAATATAAGAATAGAACGAAAAAGTTATTTTGACTCGCTTATTTGAATCGCTTGTTAATTTCTGTTTCTTACAAAAGGGATAAGAAGCTTATAGTATGAAACATTTTAAATTAAACATTTATTATTATTGTAAATAAAATACATAATGCTTAGACTGTATATCAGCGGTTGTGATGACATCAGCCACAC